GAATACATCAGCAAAAACTTGCACATTCAACAGCATGTCATTATGTGTATCCTCGATTTCACTTCAAAGCTGTGAAATTTAATATTAGGAGTCCACCATAGGTCAGCTAACACACTTATGAGTCAACTCACTTGAACTCACTCAGATCTAGCAGCTAGTCTGAGACCGGGTGAGGAATATTTTGGCGAGTTTGAGTCTGAGTGAGTTCAGTTGAAGAAAATTTTCATGAGTGCGAGTCCGGGCGAGTCCTAGCTGAATAAAATTTCCAGGCTCAGTCCGAGCTAGTCCAAAGCACAAGATATAGTCCGAGCGAGTTCACTTCTTCTTTTGCTGATATATGCGATTCTGATGTGACAGTTTCCTGATAACGTTTGGCCTCTATCACGTGTTCATGCATTTCATCTTACGCTTGCGTGGTTCTGCGCAAACACCTCTTTCCAATATATTGCAGTTGTTTTGCTATAAACTTTGGTTGTTAGTTCAGTGCCATCCTTTTCCCGACCGGTCTTTAGCCCTGACTTTCATTCGTCGTCTCCCATGCAGCACCAACCAGCCCACTCAAGCACTATGTCCCGGGCGCAAGTTTTCCTATTAAGGAGTTTCCTTTTTATTTGCCGACGTGCCGTATTTTTCAGCGCCACCCACTGGTGTCTAGAGAACTATACCTGTGAAACGCAGGCATTCAGAAGGCCATCCAACAAATGGTCAAATGACTCAATGAATAAAAACGAGCCCTTACAAAGGACGTTTTGAAGGCTATTGAGTCCACAGAGCATGCCACAATTCTATCGAAACTTGGACACACATTGGGCAAGGAAAGCAAAAACGGCACAAACGTGCCCTCTCGTTCACAGTGTGCTCATACTCACAACTAGGAAAAAGAAACTAACAAGCATTCTTTAAAATCAGTATGTGTAAGCTAAGAAAGTATTTTTGCCGCTTTAACTGTGTGAACTGCATATTACTCTCAACAACAGTAACCTGCTTGTCTCTATCGTGCCATCCTGCTGTGTGCTGCTCACTGTAGTATTGCTGCTCAGCAACTTCCAAACTAAATACATATGCTTTGATAACTACGTAACAGATAACTTATTGCAATTTTTAAACATAAGCAACAGATAAGTTTGTGCTTTAAATTAGATTTAAGTTCCAGTGGATCGGATACGAAAACACAGATACGTAGTTCCCCACAATCTTTGCGAGAAATGCCTGAACTACTTGACGGCCGTTCAAAACTGCCATGTAGCAGCACGACAGTACTATCGAGTCAATACAGTTGTGGTGTTTCAATGGCCGTTGACTGAATAGCCTTTCAAAAGTACCTGTGATATGCAGGTATTACTCAAGCACCGAAGACACAACTACTTCATTTCACTTGTAAAAAGAAAACATATATCATTTATTGTAAGAGTTAAATAAAGTAAGTGCCATCACTACTGTCCTTGCTGTAGTGCACCACTACTGTCCGTTCCATCACTACTGTCCTTTTCGCAGTGCAGTCAGTAGTGCGGGTACTGCTCGCCCTGTATCATGTCCTCATGCTTTTCGGTACTGCCGAGCTTGGTGAAGTGCTCGTTGCACAGGCAGGGCTGGAATTGCTGCTTGCCCATGCATTCCGGAGGTGCATCTTCTGTTTGAAAGCCCAGCCACAGCTGAAGCAAGTGTGCAGCCTGATGAGCCCCGAGTGCCGATTCCAGTGGCACTTTCATGTTACTGAGGAGATTTCGAAGCACTTGTAGCACACGTCACACTCGTATAGTTCTGCTACGGTGTGCGCCTTGCTTGTGGAGATAGAGATTTTCGTTATGGATGAAGCGCGTTTGGCATATGTCGCGCACCGCGCACCGGTCCCAGTGGATCATTTCGTGCTCTGCGAGACTAGCCCCTGCGTCTGTGGAGAAAAATGAAAGAATTTGTTAGCGCGAGTTTGAAAACCGATTTGTTTGATACAACCAGTGAAACCAACAGATAGTTAACCCAAGGAAAGAATGGAGACATTGTTTGTTGTTTTTTAGCAGTAGTGCATTGATTATAACATCGATTAAGACCTTACTAATTGATTATGGCAGTAAATCCACCTCTCATACAAACGGGGCCACTTTCAAGACCGCTCGAGCACGAAATGACCCAACGAGAACGACAAGGTGTACATAATGTGACACCGTGCAAGCGGTGAATGAATGACAAATGTGGATTTCATATCAGTGCACAAATGACACATACAAATGATATAAATTACACATTATGAGTAGCATAACATGAATGCCATGCTACTGCCAAATGATATTAGAAACAGTTTCTGGTGCCATTAGAAGGATGCTAAAGGCAAATAAAGTCATGTCAGAGTGAAAGGTTAATGCTCGAGAATGTCAGTATTATGTACAAAAGCACTTTAGTAATATAGAAATTAAGGTACAAAAACTACGTGACCCTAAGTTTCATCTTTGAAAGAGCCCTGAAACACTTCTTTAAGTAACCATGAAATGTATTCACTGGGAAAGGTGATTGCCTCACGAATTCAATGCCGCAATAATTTTAAGCAACCGTCCAGTGCGAGTAGAGTTACAAAGTTTTGTGACATGCTGCAATTGCATTCTCTTTTCTCTCGTCCCAACGAAAGCACTGGAAGCTAAGCAGGAAGAGATAGCAGGGGCGAAGAAAATGTGTCTTGTGCGCCCCATGACTTTGAACGCATTTTTTTTCATTTTATTTTCTTCGAATGCACGACTTTATCAGTGTGATCGTGCACGGCACTGCGTGAACAACTCGCGTCCTTTTGCAGTCATTTCTGTAACGACCGAGCGCACCATGTTCAAATCACTCAATGACTGATACATATATGGTTTTCTACGATTTATTTTTGTGCATCTTCCGTCATTTGTCGAGAGAAGAGGAGACAATATTTAGCTGACTTTGATAATTTATTGTGAATTCCAGGCCATGTTGCACTATAGTATTTAGCTCGCTTGTTCTTGGGAACCTCTACTACCGATCAGCAGCGTTTTCTGACCATGCACAAAATTGTTTTAGGGCCCTTTTAGAGTTAAGCTAGCTAGCTATATCTTGTCCCTAGTGCGTATAGTGTTCAAAATGGCTTGTGTAAGTGAAGCTTTCGCATACGGCTGCATTCTGTGCAGTGGGTAGCACGCTTTAAACCATGGCCATTGTGCGGGTGAACTCTTTTCAAACTTGCTACACACCCACTACGTAGCCTTAAGGGCAAAGGCGCAGTACTGTGTGTGCCTTTTGTAGTGGGTGGCTCGCTTTAAGCCATGAATGCATGACAATCACATGTTCTGACGCCCTCTGGCAATGAGCGCTATGCATTAGTACTGCAATACTTAATGATGTATTGTGAAGCGTGTATGCAGGAAGCGTAGGGTATGTAAAGCATGAAAGTTACTTTCCCTGCATTTCCAAGCAAAGGAAATAGTTTTCACTGAGTTCACAAGCAGACCTTTGGCCGTGTGGTAGAAAATCCGGTTGCCACGCAAACGAAACGAGTTCATTCACGGCTTGGACCCAAAAAACCCGGATTCGATCCCTACTCTGACCCAGAATTTTTTATTCATTTATTTTATTTGCGTCGTTCTCGATTTTTCGGTCACCCATAAGATATTTTTCACTTCACAACCAATGACACCGACGCCAGGGTTTCTGTGAAACGAGCTCTTTAAGGATATCGCGTTAATATGGGGCACAAATTGTGCCAGCAGTGGGTCATTCTGATACGTTATGCTGATGATATTGTATGCCCTCAGTACAAGTAATCACAAGTACTCAAGCTACCTATGATAAAAGGAACATCTCAGCATATTAGGATGGGATAAATTGCAAAATGCAATTCCAGTTTGACTCCTGGAGAAAAGTACCTAACTGTTAACCTTGAGAGTGAACGAGCTAATCTAAAAATTTGTTTCCCTGGGCTGTGCTAGCTATGCTCCACTGCACCGACAATTCAGGTAAATGCTACCTTCACAAGTCAATTATAGTATGTGGACATCTTGAATCATGCAAACGGTACACAGACCACCATAACACGACTTTTTTCACATTAGACATTTCTTTGGCATAAGACAAGCATAAATAGATTTCTTGGAGCTACTGCAACAGAACATGTTGACTAATAGAGTAGACTCTTAGCAAACGGAAACCTATTCAAATGGAACTGCTGCGTAAATAAAATAAGTGAGTCTGATACGATTGGTTTCGTACGTAAGCTGTACAACCTGTTCATCTCTCAGTAAACAGATCTGTTCAAGGGACTACTGAACAAATATTTGCCGCCAAGATTTTCAACCAGATCAAAAGACTGGGTCCTGAAATCGATAGGGACAACCTTCATTCCTGGAGGGAACTACAAGAAATTAGTGAATTTGTTGTAGTTGAATTTCTCGTGATAACCGAACAAACTGCCGCGTCTGGTGGCCACACCGTAAACTAGAAGTGACATTTAATAACGTCACAAACACCCGATGTGGTCAAGCCAGCAATCCCAGCCGTTCGCCCACGGATCCTGACTTGCTCATCTCCCCCTACGGTTGCCAGAACCGATATGTACTGCACCAATAGTAGACAATGCTCCCAGCTGGGGTGAAACATCAGTTTTGTGGAAGGGGAAGAGTGGGACGAAAGGAGAAGTAGAGAAAAGGAAGTGTAAAAGAGGAATATGCGCACCTTGCATGCACCTCAGCCATTGTGACGTCACGGCTGGCATTCTAGTGCAGCCCCCGTGCACTGAGAATCTACCAAAAATACAATCAACTGCTCGAAAATACGGGAAATCAACCCTGTTCATCAGAACAGTCCCATATTCTATGTAGAATTACGAAGTTTCGCCAGATTTTCCAATTTTTGTTCAGTATCCCTTAAATATATGACATTTTCCTAGTCTCTTCAGGTTACGTTAAATGAGAGTTCCTTTAACAACCCTAGAAAACATATTTCATCACTTTGCTATGATGCCTTAGTGGCTTGGATCGAACAGGTACTTATAGGAAAGGTCAAGCGGGGAAGGGCCATTAGAGCCTTCGGTTTTAATAACCAAGCTCCTCCATTTTCCTCTTGGTAAAGCAGGGTCCTACATTACCGTCACTTGCATCTGCACCAAGAAATACAGCAAATTTGCAGACCCCTAAAGAGATCATGTCACCGGAGCAGTTTGCATATGGCCGAAAACAAGCAGATTTCATGCATGGCAGTCCACCACAAACACACATACTATGAGCTTCATCCATTTACCAAGCTACGGACCACTCGCCTGGCGGCCTGTGTACGCCTCGGCTCATAGGCGGCTACGTCACATGCATGTGATCCAAATGTCCCAATCCATACCGAGCGGCGTCGGGCCGTCTGCATACTTGATGCTGTCAGCGTCCGCTGTGGCGTCTGCTCTAGTCTGCTCCGTCGATGGCAGTAACACAGGCCACAACGCCGACCCTATTTCAACTTCAGCAGTAGTTAGGTGATCAATCATACCTATTTCTGTCATGATGCAACTTGTAGTAAGTGAACTACTCGAGCAAGCTTGCATCGTTGACCCGTGTGGTCATTCTACTGCTGTTTCTTCTGGCGAAGTATCGTATGTGTTTGCCTGACTTTCAGGCATACACAAGCGCTCAACGTGGCTCGGAACACCAACGACAAGAGCTACATGGGCAAACAATGCAGAATCGATAAATGTGTGAGAAGCAGACAGAAAAGCGAAGAGAGAGCAGGAACGCATCAGAAATTTCCCGTGTCTTACTTCAGCCGCACAGCCATGCGTACCGCGTTGTCGTCTGCCAACTGCCCAAAAGAAATCTCCTGGACAGTCCCGCGGCGCCCGGCAGGCCGCCAGGCACGCGATGAATGAACATGCGTTCGAGCAGGTCCTAGACTAGTGGGCGCAGCTTCCAGTTGGTCCTCGAGAAAAAAGAATGCGGCACCGGTGTCTGGAGTCGTATGCGATGTGTAAATCAAAGAAGCTCTATGACGCATCCATCCTACTCGTATGTATTCTGATTGTAGCCCTCTGCTGCTGCAGTAAAATAGCTCAAGCATCTTGCAGATGAAGTGTAAGCTGCTGCTTAGAACATCAGACACATGTTTGTTGACATAAAAGAAATCAGCACAACCTTTATTAAGCTGCACAAGACAGCCCACCCGGTGGTCACCTAGCTGGTCCTGGCTTTGCTTGGTTATTAACTCCCCACCCTTCTTTTTCAAAACACTTGCAATACGCTCATACATTGATACAACAAACCCAGATATAGTGTATTATTGGTTATTACAATGTAAATTAAGGACAGTCTAGCAATAGATATAGTATGTCAAGTGGTTGCAGCTAAAACTGACTAGCCCAGATGCAAACTATTCTAACAGTGTGCTAAAAAGAAACCTTTAAAATGAATTTTCGGATATAACAAACTTCATTTTGCATAAGATGTAACTTTGTTATAATGAGGTTCGAGTGAGTTATACTCTACGTGGCTGTAGTTGCTATTTTATTTTTTGTCTCTATTTCTTGCTGTTTCTAGCTTGCTCTCTCTTTGTCCTCTTTTTCTTCTCTCTCTCTATCTATTGATATATCATTCAAGCTGTTATGATTGAGGTTTGCCATACATAGAAGATGGAAAATTAACACAATCATTAACCGGCACATGTCGATCGCTACCATGCCTTTGTACAGATCCTTAACAAGAGCAGCCACAATGGCCCCTAATCGGTGTTTGCTGCTGCCACACCTGTCCCGTTAATTAGGGAGGCGATCGCCGGGCTAATTCCAAGAGCCGAAGTATCGGCCCCCCGAACCGCACCACGAAAGCGTGGACAATTTAGAAGTGGTCCTTATTGGTGCGCCAGCGGACGCCGGCTGTGGCCCAAAGAACAAGTCAGAGCCGAGAGTTGATAAACAAACAAATTATATTCTCAATAATGGCAGATCGAAAATAATACACAAAAATGCACACTCCACACTAGTTACATACAATATGTCACCAATCAAACCAATCAATCAACGTACTACACAATACAATCAGCCACACTTGAAACAACGGACACGGACAACAATACGCACTACAATGCAGTCACATGCATTGAACAACCAAGACACTTAAGGACTAAAGCGATAGAAAACCTATTCAGTCCAAAGTCCTTGGAACAAAAGTCTGAATGATACTCGTCCGAGAATCACTCACTCAAAGTCCAGCGTTGTTGTCGTTCCGCAGCTCTCTGAAGTTTCTCTTCCAGGAAACCTCGCCGGAGTTTCTCTTCCAGGAAAACTCCCGTCTTCAATAGGCCACTCTCCAAGCTTCAAACTTCTTCGCCGGAATCCGTCGGCTTCACACACGCAGCTGTTGCCCGCGTCTTCGCTCGATAGCGGTAAACCCACGCTCTTGCCTGTAGCTCGAGCCGTCCCTACGGACCAAAAACTTCGCCGACTACACGGCGGACTCTCTACGCACTCTTGCGTTAACTTCCGTCACCTCCTGATCTGTCACTACGGGCAGAACCTTCGCCGACTCCACGGCGGAATTCCTACGCGCTCTGGCGTTAACTTCCGTCACCTCCTGTTCTGTCGTCTCGGCCGCTCGATTAAATACCTTCCGCGCCACCTTCCAGAAATTTCTGGTCATTTCGTCGGCGCGATACGCGGCGAAGGCTGGAGAGAGGCGAGACGGTTTGTCAGCCCTCCGCGTCGGGTGACTCAGCTCGGCGTAGCCACGCCTCCTTCGTTCTGGAAATTTCTAGCGCTTGCCCGGCCGCCGCTGTGGGGTGAGGAGGTTCGTCTGCGAAGCCGTGCTTCTGCGGGGAGAGCGCGCGCCCGGGAGCCTTGGATGTTTGCTTTCTTTTTTTTTTCTTTTTACCTCGCGGCGTTTCTACCGCCCGTTGTCGCAAGGATTTGGCGGCGCGCTCTCTTTTTAGCGCTCGTTCTGTGACAGCTGCCCACGCATTCGCAATCATTAATTCTTGGTGGACCACTGTGTGCAAATCGAGAGACTTTCCGACGTTCCACGGCTAATACGCGCTACGAGAGTTTTACAGTAGAGCCATTGTGGTCCATGTCATAAATGGAAAGGACCTGTAAAAGAGATATAGCTAGAGTGAAAGCGAAGAAAGTGAAAAAAGATGGAAGGCAACAGAGAAGCTCAATGATAGAGAGAGAGAAAAGAAGAGAGAAAGAAAGACATAAAAGATAGGAAGAGAAAACCAGAAAGTGAGAGAGGCAGACAAATAATGAAAAAATAAAGAAAGCATAGCACAGCAAGGGGTGGAAAAGAGACCGGTGAGAGGGCAAAAGCATAGTCAAGTCATAACAAGCTGGGTGCCCGCTAGCTCTGCTGCGATCCAGCCTAGCAAGATTCAATGCAAGCCGCGCCAATTTTTCTCTCTTCCTCTTTCTTTTAATGTCCTTCTCTTTTTCTTTAACTATCTCTCTATTTTTCCCAGCTTTATTCCCTAGCCTCTTCCTCAAGCTTTCATGCACTCCTTCTCATGCTCAATTCCCTTTCCCACCCCCTTGCTATAGTTACACTATACAAGGCAGCACTATGCTCTGATGGATAGTCGAGTGGTTACAACGCTAACATTCAAACAGTGTGATACAACAATTTTTCAATCTTCCTCATCAAGAATATTTTTTTCATCGCAGAATTTCTCTATTTTTTTTATTTATTTCTCTCTCGGTACTCGTTTTTTTCTCCAATCGGCATTATTGCAACCCTCACCACAAACTGGCACATGTGTTCTGCGAGGGAAACAGAGGAGGATGAAGAAGGCGCGTCCCGATTCATAGTAATGAACCGGGACGCGCTTTCCATCTATGACACCCGACAAGCCTCAACCATAACAGTGCTGCAGTAAAGGTCGACCACCATTAACGCCATCACACAGACGTATAGCCACAGTCCATCTGAGAGCAGCTTGAGGTTTTCGCACCACCTGCCACATGTGGTGCTTCCATATTACAGCCAGATCTTCGTCACTCTGATCCTCTCAATAAGCCATCATTTACCGGTTTCACAACTCACAACTGGCATAAAAGCAAGACCGTCTAAATAAGCTTTCGACACAAGGTTATTATTGTTTCAATAAAGTGACATCTGAAGGGTGCCAGTTCTGCCATGCAGTAAACAGTACCAAACCACTGACAAGATCGGGAGCCATGATGCAAAGTCATAGTGGCAGGCACAGCAAAACCTAAAGGCAAATGTGCTAAAGCCAGTGAGGCAATGTATTTAACAGCAGCCAGCCATGAAATGTCATTTTCCACATTTCGGTGCTAATACCTTTTCTGGACCTTTACACAGATAGTTTTACTCTACAACACAAATTCATACTGCAGAAGTCCATGTGAATAAAAAATTATTATTGCGACTCATTTGCACTGTCTTTAGATTTTAAGATATACAGCCTACTCAGATCGTGAGAAGGATGCTTAAATGTGTTGCAATATTTCCCAGTTTTTTCATCCATACCAGAATCTACTCACACATTGTGGACAGTTTTCTTCAATGAATATCAACTTTATAAATGATAATTAAAATTTTAAGGACTTTGATAAAGAAAGAATTTATTGTTTAAAATAGATAAGGGCAACACGAACGACCGACAATCAGACCAAGCAACTCACCAGCACGGGTCGGAAGATAGCCGTCCAAGCAATCAACCGCGCAATCGATTTCTTCAGGCTCGCGCTTTGGCACCAAAAGAGCAATCTCGCTGTTAACTGATGCATGACCTACAACAAAGAACACATTTGAAAGATTCACAGCATCTACAATTAAAATATTGCTCCTGCATGAGTGAGGATATATTGTTAGATTGAATCAGGCAAAGTATTTAACAGCAGCAAGCAACACAATGTCATTTTCCACATTTCGGTGCTAACACCTTTACTGTACCTCCACACAGATAGTTTTACTCTACAACACAAATTCTTACTGCAGAAGTCCACGTAAATAAAAGTTATTACTGGGAATACTTTTCACTGTCTTAAGATTTAAAGATATAGAACCTACTCAGATCGTTAGAAGGATGCTTGAATGTGTTCCTATATTTTCCAGCGTTTTCATCTATACCAGGATTTAATCTCACATTGAGGCCAGTTTTCTTTAATGAATATCAACTTTATAAATCATAACCGTGATTTTCAGGGCATTCGTAAAGAAGAATTTACAGTTACAAATAGACGAATTTCAGCCAACACAAACGGGCGGCAGTCAAACCGAGCAACTCACCAGCACGGGTCGGGAGATGGCCGTCCAAGCAATCAACCGCGCAATCGATTTCTTCAGGCTCGCGCTTTGGCACCAAAAGCGCAATCTCGCTGTTCATTGATGCAGAACCTACAACAAAGGACACATTTGAAAGATTCACAGCATCTGCAGTGAAGTTATTGCTTCTGCATTAGTGAGGATAGTTTCTTACATTGAACCTGGCATAAACTCATGGACTATGCAAAAATCACCACCGGGATAGAAATATATTATACAATTGCAAATTTGATGAGAAAACATACCCACTGCCTTTCATGAGCCTTCGTTGAACACATATTGGGAATCAGGCATGGCATGTGACATAAGAATGAAGAGTACATGTACACATTTACACATTTCAAAATTTTCTAACCTCGAAGGGCTGTCACAGGAGTAGCACATTTGATAATTTGAGAAAAATGAGAATGTGAATGTGACAGTACTGCCCATACACTTAAAGTATAGAAATAAAGTGCCAAGACTCTCTCAGGACAGCTGATGTGCACTGAATCAATTTTCAGCAGATCGAAGAGAGCAGAAACTTACAGGATTCAGATGGCAAATCCGTGTTAAATGTGTCCATCCCACAAATGACCTCCTCACTTCATGCTCTTGTGCACAAGTTCTATTGTTGTCGTCACTTCTGTCTGCATCTGGAAACGAACAGACAAAAGTCCCAGATAACTTCCATGCACCTGAGGTACCTGACACAAGGTGTAGCAGAAACTGGAAGGCCTTTTTCATAGAGAGACACATTAATGTTTCTTGAAAGAAAGAGCAGACTGTAATAAACTATCACTTGCTTTTCTACTCTTTCAAGAAAGGTTCACCACTGCTGGGAATAAAAACCACCACGTTGAATTCAGCAGTGCAATGCCATGCCCGGGCATATCCACATATACTCAAACCTCATTATCCCCGCCGCGGTGGTCTAGTGGCTAAGGTACTCGGCTGCTGACCCGCAGGAGCGGGTTCGAATCCCGGCTGCATTTCCGATGGAGGCGGAAATGTTGTAGGCCCGTGTGCTCAGATTTGGGTGCACGTTAAAGAACCCCAGGTGGTCTAAATTTCCGGAGCCCTCCACTACAGCGTCTCTCATAATCATATAGTGGTTTTGGGACGTTAAACCCCACATATCAATCAATCAAACCTCATTATAAGAAAGTTTCATATCACATGAAAATAAGTTTGTTGTATCCAAAAATTCGTTACAAAAGTGTATGCCCAGCACTGTAGTGCAGGAATATTCATTTACTTTGCTATAACCAGTATTTCACAGCATCCACAATTAAATAGCGGATGCTGTGAAATACTGGTTATAGCACTACCAAATGTTTAAATATAACCAGTATTTCACTATATTTGGACTCGCTATGCTGAAGTACGAGAGTAACAGCAATCCCACTTATGCCCTTGTCAGAATGTGTGAGGTGAAGCACCACTGACTACAGATAGCAGCAGATGCGAGCACAGGCGTGCGCGGCGTTCTCCTCTAAGGGGGGAGGGAGGTGAAGTCTTTTGCCACAGTGCCCTCCACTGAGGCCCTTAGGATCAGAATTCCTTGCGAAGACATGGGGACCAAATGTCACTTGTATAGATGTGTCTGCTAAAACAGTGAAGGTTGCGCATTCTAGAGGAAAAGAAGAACGAGGAATGACATGGGGTTTTTCTGGGTGCTGTGCCGGAATAAGCGGCAGTGTCAAGATTCTCCGCTCTTCATCTACAGGCGTAGTTGTCCTTTAAACGTGGTTATTTACGATAGAAGTCTTCGAATTTTACATTGGTGCTGAAACCCGAGACCCGACCAGGGACCTCTAGATGTGCGTGTGCATGAGTGCCAATGAGTGACGGTTAACAATCGTGCATCGAAAGGGCTATGAACTCGAGTGAATATCGCCGAGTGTGGGTCAGAACCTGGGTGAACGCCGACTAGTGGCTGCACAAAACTATTTGTGAAACATGGAGCTAGAATATACTGGTGAGTGAATATCTCATTATTATGTTGATATAAGTAAAGAAAAAAAGGAAACAGTCAACTGAATTTGCATTTCTGTCAAAATTTCAATGACAGTTATTTACTAATGTACTATTAACAAGTGTTTATGAAGAATAGGCTCTTTCAAGACCTCGAGTTTTTCAACTTCATTTATACCTAGTGACAACTTTCTGTGACAGCGCAGCACGGAACCGAAGCACACACTTCCTCACTACGCTTCTGTATGTATCCCACAAATGCTAACTTTCCTAGACTATGTAACATTAGGAAAACATTAAAGGAAAAGAGATCCCTATTACGTTGAAGATTATTGGCATTGAAAGAAAGTGTGTCCCGCAAAAGGATTTCTGTTTTCTGCTGTATCTAGTTTTCTGGGTTACTGGTGCGGATTTTCACATTCTCCTGTCTCTGAAAACAACCATGGCATCATTCAGTCATAGCAGCTGAACATGAAAGCTTCTAAGGCAATGAGCGTGTCTTCGTCAAGTGATCTGTGTTAATTATACAGACAGAAAGGAAGACTGCAGTGCGTTATAACATATTTTGTTGCCTGCATACAATCAACGAGAAGCAAGTTGTGTGCGAGTCATATCACCAGCACAAGTGTGTTATTCATCGTAATAACCACCTTGAATATTTGTAACAACTGCCTGTTACCTGCCAGTCTTCAGAAAAACCAGCGGCTCGTAAGCACAAGTGTGACTAGAAACTGTACGTAACAGAAACGACCCATTTTATTAACGGCAGTGCTTACGTGGTTGGCATTTTAGTTGCCTACTATAGCTGATACACACTGAAAGGCGTCTACTGTAGCACTCTGCCCGTTTGCACTTACAGTGGGAGATACTTTCGGTGCTTTGCCGTGAGAGGGATTGACAATTATGAAAAATTACCAGTGCAGAACTTCACCAGGGCAGCGAACTCGTTCATGTCTATTATGCGGCTGACAGCATGCTTTTCCCTACGCAAAATGAGTGCTCTTGACCATGGCAAATAAGGAGTGTGTTTCCACTGTATGCCATGGCAAATGTGCCACGGCTCCCTTCAATGGGTCTTGGCCACAATTTTTACTGTCTGTTGATGCTTTGCGCATAGCCAGAAAAAATAACATGAGCATCTCCAGAAAGTTATTGAGTCTCAATAAGTAGCAAAACGATGATACCGACCCTGTATGCAAAATATTTAGGAAATAGTTTGTTGCCTTGCTGTAGGATTTCCAATTGGGAATTCCCAGCTTGGCCAATGCCTTTCTTCTTTTCTAAAACAAAACCAACCACTTCACTTACACTGCTTCCTGTATTTCTTTGCAATGTGGAACATGTTATTGCTTTACAAAAAAAAAGAAAGTGAACATTACTAGTTAAAATTCAATCTAATGAAACCTGATTTTACGAAGTTCTTGATCTAAAAGATTTCCACTCTCCCGCAAATACCAATAGGTTCAATGTTGCCCTCAACCAGATTTAGCAAATTACTTCGGTAATTAAATAAAGTGCACTTTAGCAAACTGTTTGATTGAATTAACTGAATGAAAGTGCTGCAATTGAGTGAGTGAGAAAACGCTATCATGCTAAAACATTTACCTGCCCTTGTAATGGCACTAGCTTTACATTGATAAGGCTGTCTTTGCATCTACGTACGAGACAAAGGATGTGATGGTCGGTAGCACTTATGCGTACCGAACGGCGCTAGAGCCGGCAGTAGCTCTTTTCTTTATTCCATGGTCTATGCAACCTACAACACTGATCACCTCACATCTTTCTCAGCTCAGCCAGCACCCATAATCATTGCATTTGTTTTGCATGTTATGACACATTGGTTACCTGTCATACCTTCATGTGACCACACACATGGCCTGCATCGCCAGGACATAGTCCCTATGTCAAGGCCATTCATAAAGACTTTTACGATGGTGAGGCACGGGTTGCCATTATAGAAGATGCTGTGGTAGCTTTCTGGTGTCGCTACATTACAACTTCGGGTTCGGAAAGGCATAAAGATCACTTCTTCAATTCAACAAACCAATTTCAGTGCAGTCATCACTTTGTTAAATTGAGCTTCTAGTGTATAATGCGCTCATTATAAATGCAGACATGAATCACTGGCAGGTCCTTATTATTGAATGCGATTCGCAGAAGCGCTCAGCAGTGATTCCAGGTGTTTGATCATTCACTGCTGCATCCGTAAGTATATAAAGACTGATCTTTCATAACACTACTTCACAACCTCACGAGGTTGCATGTTGGTTGCATGTTGGTAGGTGCATGTTGGTTGCACTTGCGAAACCTAAACCGATAAAGCCCGCGAGCGGATTTATCGGCGTAGGAACTCATGTGCAATAGCTTCGCCCCTTTGGCTGTACGGCAGTGCTGCCACAGAAAGCTGATGACAGTTTTGATTGATACAGACAAGCCATTTAACTGCTTGCCTTGGAGTAGCGATTCGCGGCAAGTCTCGCAGAAGTTCGTTCCAGTGAGGCCCACGAGAAGGGCTGGAAAGGATTCACGCGGAAGTTGCGCGGCATTTCGACGCTTGCCGCGGTCGAGTGCAGAGCTCAAGGTCGACAGGTTGGCGTCGGACCCCAATCGGCCGCAAACGTGGCAGCCGTGGCCACTGTCACTGCTCGGCGATTTGCGCCGACCGTTCGCTTCACACCTCCTGACCTGACGCAGGTAACTCTCCACGACTCGCAGACCGGGGTCGTTCAGCCGACGTTCGCGCTTAGCTCGCGCTTCCCGAGCCCGGTACTCAGAGCGTTCCGCTCGAAGGCGTCTCATGTGGGCGGCCTGCCTGGCTCGGTAACCGGGGTCGTTCAGCCGACTTTCGCGCTTGGCTAGCGCCTCCCGAGCACGGTACTCGGACCGTTCCGCTCGAAGGCGTCTCATGTAGGCGGCCCGCTTGGCGCGATATTCCGGGTCTTCGGTTGCTTTCCGACGTTTTTGTTTCCTGTCGGCAGCGTTACGTCTCTCGCGCCGTTCTTCGTCTGACAAGTTGAGCCTCGACCTGGCCATGCCCAGGGAGAGCGGAAGTAGAGTCTCTGTGGAGTTCTGTTGCTTTAGTTTAGCAGGGTCCATCTTCGACTACGAACCGAAGCGACCAAAGTAACCGCAGTATAGTGTTCTAGAATAATTCTAGAACACTTTAACCGCAGTACAGTGTACTAGAAGTACCCCCTTCTAGTACACTGTAACCGCTGCAATTAACCGCAGCAAGCACCGCCCGCATTGTTGCCAGGTCGGACATAGAGAAATAAAGTCTTCTTCTTTCTCTATGGGTCGGACAAAGTGGCGCCAGTGGTGCCGCCAAAAAGAGAGAAACTGTAGGCCATGGAGGAAGCCGTTCGGCTTGCGTTGGGAAAACTTCCTTCCTCCGTTCTGTAGCCCAAACCCAAACGCAACCAAAGACAAAATGTTATTAATAAAAAGTTAATAATAATAAATAAAGCATTTTTGCATTAGTGGTGCTAAGCTTGAATGAAGCTGAGCAGCCTTCTATGGACGGAGGAAGGAAAGCCTTTTCTTCCTCCGTGCTTCTATGTTTCTCTTCACACTTTCTATTTATTGTTTTCTGTCTTTGTTTTTTGTCATTTATCTCTATATCCTAATTAATGATGATTCCTCCATCACCAGTAGATCTTGATGATGACAGTATTCGTCGATGATCTCTCTGCCTTTTCGACCATTTATTCTACCTTTCTCTCGCTCGCTTTTTTTTTCCCCCTAAACATTTATTTCTGCCTTTTCTTATCTCTACATGTCTAGTGCACTATAGATTGGCTGCTGTCCCGCAGGTCGTGGGTTCAATTCTGTCCGCGGCAGTCGCATTACGGTGAAGGCAAAATGGTAGTGGCACGTGCAGTGTGCGATATGTTAACAAAATTTCCCGAGCCCTTCACGGCGTCTCTCCTAATCGTATCGTGGTTTTGGGATAGTGTTTTCAGATATAATTATTTTCTTCGACCTTTGGCGGTCGGAAACACCTCAAACCGCCGCTAGGGAATCTCGGGGCGCGACTGCACCTTTTTCTATCCCATTTATTCATTTATTTTCAGACAATACTCGATGTCCTGAGGTCGTCCTCATATGGTACAATCGTCCTCGCACAGTTCTCATCGACCTTAGTTCTTACTGAAGACGACACAAGCTGGTTTGCCTCGAAAACGTCTTTTCGAGTGCTTTCTGAGGACAACAATTGGTCTGGAAAAGGTCCTGTTAAGGATCTTTTGGGGATGACAAAAGCATTGCACTGAGCACTTAGATATAATTCCTGAAGACGTTTGCGCACCAAGTAGATGCATTTCATACGTGATAACTTTCTCCACATGTTTGTTTCTTACAGTCATAAAGTTATTGTTTATTTTCGCCTCGTTTTTTTTTTTGCAGAAAATTTTCAAATTATGCATCGCGCTTAATGAGACACACGTAATCAATTGACTTAGGTATCGAACCTGGCATTGCGACATGTCCATTTGAAACAGTGTGTTCTTAAATGTCAGAGCCCTAAATTAGTCATTATACGTCGCTGTAGCGCGTAGTAACATACTAGCAGCTGGCAACCAGTGACTATGCGGCACCATTCTAGATAGTCAAGTAGCCAAGCCATTACAAGCCAACTGACTGTCAAAATGGCAGCGGCAGTTTTGTCAGGGAAAGTGCAGTGAACTAGTGAAGGTTCGTGTCCTTTGTTGTTTGTGTGCATGGTTAAAAGTGAGATATGTGTGAGAGTGTAAGTCGTAGGTGATGACGGTAAATAAATTATCGTGTCGATAGGCGCACTGGGCTGCTCAACGTTCAGACTGATCATAGATGCATTGTCACCAGCCGACCGCGGCGAGGTTTGGTTCGAAGCAGCCTGGAACAACAGCCAATCGCGATCGATTGGGCTTCGAAGCAGCCTGGTCCCAACGTGAAAGGATCGACTTCTGCATCTGACACATGGCCCGACCTCGGCCAAGTCAAGTCAACGCCCGTGTCGAGTGTACTGATAGGCTGTCATGCGGAGCCTCCAGCACTAGTGAGTGCATTGGGCGCGATACACGTGGTGATGAGGACACTGTGTCAAACCTTCGAAGAAGATTACAAACATAGTTGATTAAGCTGTGTTGACTGCCTTGATACTGCTTTTCTTTTTTCAGACTATACGCGTACTCGAATGCCTGACAAAGCTGTCTATTGTGATTAATTACTGTTAAATAAATTTCAGTCAACAAGCTTCGTTTGTTTTACATTAATAGTCCAGCACTGTCACCTCTCTGTTGATTGATACAGTACATATACTCGAGACCTCGCAGGTGTTTTTCTTTTGATGTATGAAAATGTCATGAAAAGAAGTAAATCCTAAGTAGTATCACTGCCCACAGTACCGAACCGGCCACGTTATCGTTGTTCTGAAAAGATGCTGAAAAAGTCCTGAATTGTTGTTTTGAGGATGTGCTGAGGTTGTTATGTGTATGGTCAAGGGGACGGGATTAGTGCCTTTCTAGTGCCATAAGAGGACATTCTGAGGGCATCATATTGTCCTCACGGAGGCATACTGAGGATGTCCTGAGGTTGTGTTTGTGTTGTATGGGTTCATACTGTAAGCCTTAACATGCACTTACAGGAGTGGCTCCAAAAGGATACAGTTTGGTTGCTACATATGCACACATCCACCGAAGAACAAAATAATAGTAACAAAAGGTAATCAAAACCAAAACAAGAAAGGATAACTACACAGACGACTAGATGAGACTACATATTGCAAAAAAAAAACGAAAAAACACAGCTGAGACTAACAGGAGAGAACGCACAAAACTGCGGATGGCATAGAATCAAAGAAGTATATTCCGCAAACAGTTGCGCCGTTATGTATTCAATGCTTTATTTCCCTAGACACGCGAAGCGCTCAGCCGCAACAACCTGCTTTGTGTGCACTCTGCAGCCACTCTACTGAACGTATTCCAGTGCACTCTGCAGCATGTTGTACGAACTGTGGCGAAGCAGCCAGCTGTCTGTACATGTAGCTTGGGACATGTCAAAGCGAAGGAGGCCGAGGATGGATTCTCATTGTTTTACTCCGAGTTGCCACAGCGGCTACATAGGCGCTCCGAAGGCTTCATTGTTTGGAGCTCCCATGGACGATGAACTCCGCAGAAAGTGGGCGCATACCCTCAAGAGGGCTGACAGGCCTCTGACCAAAACATCAGCAGTGTGCGAACATCACTTCGAGACAAGGTATATCCTGCGCGAATATGTGCACCTGATAAATGGCACTGAAGTGCACAATCTCCAAAGAAAACCGTCACTGGCGCTCGATGCCATACCAAAGCTTCTGCCAGGTTGTTCACTGTACCTTTACGTCACGGCACCCAAGCAAACACCTGAGAAAAGAAAGAAAGCAGCCAAACTTGGTGAATGCGCTAGCAGAAATTGGAAAAGGCCTGATGCATCTGACGAAACGGCGGTGCATCTCATCCATAGCGATGAAATGAAAGGCACACACTCTACTCCTGCCACTAGTGTGCTACTCTCAAAACTACGGTGCAGTTGCTCACTGCAGTTCAATATTTGCGACAACAGTGCTAAGCAAGGGTACTAAGCCGGGGATTTTTCATAAAAAGGCTGTGTGGCTCATATCCACAAAAGGAAATGTCGTTGCCCCAAGTCATCTCTCAAGGTTGTTTTGATTCATATCTGGGGTTTAACGTCCCAAAGCCACCATAGGATTATGACAGACGCCGCAGTGGAGGGCTCCGGAAATTTCGACCACATGGTGTTCTTTAGCATGCACCCAAATCTGAGCACACGGGCCTACAGCATCTTTGCCTTTATCGAAAATGCAGTCCACGCAGCAGAGATTCGATCATGCGGACGGCAGGTCAACAGCTGGGTGCCTTAGCCACTAGACCACCGCAGCAGGGCATCTCTCAAGGTGTTTTGTTTGAAAATAAACCAGTGCGATCTCTTGCTGAGGCTACATCTAAGTTGGAAGGTGCTTTAAAAAGCCTAGTCTCCAGGAAAGCAGTGTGCAAACAAGAATTGAAGCCACGGGCAGATGGACAAACGGAAGCGTGTACGGACTGGCGGATGCTCCGCCTTACTCATCATGGTTCACTTCTTGGATATGATGTGATTTTTTCATACGTGTTGCTGCCCTATGAATGCCCTACCTCCCATGAAGGAAGAATCCAAGCCCTGCATAAAGCACCAACATATATAGCCATACGCACTTCTTTTTCCATTTTTCATCTAGCTTATTCTGTTACACATGTAGCCACTGCCTTGTGCATGTGGCGCCGAGTATTGCACATTCCCAATTACTTTGGATTGTTCTGATAAGTTCAAGTGTGCAACGCGAACAACATAATTATTTATCAAGTACCCGGACACATAGTCCAAGCAGGGAGGGCAGTAAAATGGTACAACAGTGACCATGCCAAAAAAAAAGTTAAAAGAATGAAGAAAACAAAAACAATAATACAGAAATAGAGTCAATATGTTTGGCAAAACACTAACACAAATCAATAATAATATACATCATGATGTCGATTCGATCATACGATTCCATTCGGTTATAATAAAAAGGAAAAATAATTCTTAAATATTGCCACATTATAATGAGCAGAAACCAGTAACTTGAGGTCGGCCGAACGTAAAGCTGGTCCGCTCACTTGCAAAACGAAGGCATAATCTTCTTTCGCACCTATGCTTCGTCTTTTCTATTGCGGCACATACAATTTCGCCAGAAACATTACCACGTAATACATGTTTGTGGCAATATGTTTGTTCTCGTGAAGTCAGCTGTTAAT